GTACGAGTTCTACCGTGGCACCAGTGCTGCAGAAACAGCTCGAAGGATTAATGATGTAACGCTGATATCGCAAAAGAAAGCACGGTACGTTTTTGGTTTCAACGTTTTCGTTCTGGAAATTTGGATCTTCAGAACCAACCCCGTGGACGATCGGAGACCAAAGTGGAAAATGAAGAATTAAAGGCTATTGTGGAAGCGGATTCATCACAAAGCACTTCAGAGATAGCTGCAGGCTTCAGAGTAAGTGATAAAACTGTATTAATCCACTTGAAGCAAATCGGGAAAGTAAAAAAACTTGAACGATGGGTACTTCATGAATTGAGTGAATCGAACTGTGACACAGACAGTGACAGAGCAGTCGAAGCGTGTTTGCAACACGCTTCGACTGCTGTGTTACTTTGGTCAACTGACACAAAAATGAAGAGATTTTAAATGGAATCATAACTGGTGTTGAAAAGTGGATACTGTACGATAATCGGAAGCGCTCGTCGCAATGGCTGAACCCTGGAGACCCAGTCAAATCCTGCCCTAAACAAAAATTGTCTCAGAAAAAGTTACTAATGAGTGTTTGGTGGACTAGTGCCGGTGTCGTTCACTACAGCTTTCTAAAATCTTGCCAAACGATTACGGCAGATATCTATTGTCAGCAACTGCAAACCACGAAGGAAGAACTAGCTGCTAAACAACCGAGGTCAATCGCTCTAGGCCACTGCTACTTCATGACATCGCAAGACCACACACTGCACAACAAACAACCCCAAGTTAGATGAGCTACAATTGGAATGTCTGCGACATCCACCGTACTCCGGACGGACTTTGATCCAACAGATTACCATTTTTTCCGGTATTTGGACAACATCTTACAAGGAAAAAAATTCAACTGCGATGCGGAAATCCAAATCGCTTTCAAAGAGTTAATTGATTCTCGCCCCTATGTTTTTTTAGTAAAGGGATCAATGAACTACCTATGAGATGTCAAAAGTGCATAGATAGCAACGGTGTATACTTTGATTAATTAAATATATTTTACAAAAAAAAAAAAATATTTTATATTCCTCCCGTACAAAATGCCAATTTCATATGTAAGCACCTATTACTATATAGGGCAGGAAAGATAAAGCAACAGCATTTTCAAATCGTTCAGATTACCTATTTCTTACACCTGTCAAATTAAACAGTGGTAGAGCCACGCGGCAGCTTTGCTGTTGCACGTATGGGCCGGCTCAAACCGGGGTGGTACCACAACCTCACAGAATACCGGCGTGAAGTGTAAGCTCTGCTTTCGCGTTTCCTCTGGTGGGTGCAGGTGGCCGGAGGCCCAAATCCCCCCCCCCCCATCAACATGGTAGCGGAATTAAATGATGATACACTACCTCAGGAGGGTACCAGCACCCCTGGAGAATCCCTCGCTGAGCAACCACGACCATGTTTCTCCACTCCTGAGCTTGGATGCTCAAGCTGCCCCGCGTATTCTGGGGGGGGGGGCAAAATTCCGCTCAAGACTATAGCTGCTCGGGGCAAACGGAGCAACAAGACCAAGGCGACCCCTGCCACGCTATCCGTGAATTTCTGCGATATCAGGGGACTTCACTCTAACCTAAATGTCGTCCACTACCATCTCGAGACGGCGAGGCCGGCTCTGCTCTTTCTGACCGAGACACTGGTGTCCTCTCCGGCTGATATTCTCGTATCTCTCCGACCCGGGGTACAAACTGGAACACTCCCTTGTACCTCGGGCTGGAGTTTGCGTTCACGTCAGAGAGGATATCTGTTCTCGACGCCTCGGTAGTCTTGAAGGTTCGGACCTGTCCATCCTTTGGCTACGCGTAGACAGCGACGACCATCCGCGCGTCTACGGGTGCCTCTATAAGTCCCATAGCGGTAATTCCGAAACAGACCGACTCTTCGACATCTAAATGGCTACAGATTCGCTACTACAGCAGATCCCCTCCGCAAAGATCATGATCCTCGGCGACTTTAACGCCCATCATGCCGAATGGCTTGGTTCACGTTTAACCGATCATGCGGGGGATCTGTTCATGATTTTCCCTTGGCATACACACAACTGGTTACTTCGCCAACACGGATTCCAGATGTGGAGTATCATGCACCTTCCCTGTTAGACCTTCTGCTGACTTCTCACCCGAACGGATATCAGATTTCCGTTGACGCCCCTTTAGGCTCCTCGAACCATTGTCTTGTCTGGAGTGTGGTGCCACTCACGCTGAAATCGCAGTTGCATTCTGCAGGCTGCCGCCGTGTTTGGCACAATAGGTCAGCCGATTGGGATGGGATACGGTGTTTCTTTGCATCCTACCCTTGGAGGGGGGGGTTTGCTTCTCGCCGGACGATCCCAACGTTGTTGCGGATTTTGTCGCTGATGTGGTACTTCAGGGTATGAAACTTTTTATTCCTTTCTCTGTGGTGCCCATTGGAGGCAAATCTCAGCCATGGTTTGGTCGCTCCTGTAAAATAGCATCATGCTATAAGCAGGAGTGCTACCAAGCCTGGGCTGACGCATCAACGTCCCGGGATGTAAATACCAGCGCTCTGAAAAAGAAGTATAATTCCGCCTCTAGGTCCTTCAAAAGAGTTATTGCAAAGGCAAAGTCAGAGCACATAGGCAGAATTGGCGAGAAACTAGTTCGCCTTCCTTCTGGCATTCTGGTCCAAGGCTGTCCAGGGTCATTTCTGTCAGCCATCTCTTCGATCTCTGCACAGGGAGGACGACTCACTGGCCCATACCGCAAAGGAGAAAGCCGATCTGCTGGGCTCTTTCTTTGCGTCCAACTCGACTCTCGATGACGGGGGGAGTACGCCGCCCACCATCCCGCGGTGTGAGTACTCCATGCCGGAAGTGCAGTTCACACAGCGTTTGGTTCGCAAAGCACTCCTCTCCCTGGACATCCACAAGTCAAGTGGGCCTGACGAAATCCCCCCAATTGTGCTGAGGACGTGTGCTCCAGAATTGGCACCGGTTTTAATGCGTCTTTTCCGGTACTCCTACTCCCTAGGCGTAGTCCTAAAATCATGGAAGACTGCTTTCGTCCACCCGATCCCTAAAAAAAGGTGACCGCTCAGACCCGTCCAACTACCGGCCTATCGCCATCACCTCGTTGTTCTCCAAAACAATGGAGTCCATTGTAAACTACCAGCTCATGAGGTACCTTGAGGATCACCAGCTGATTAGTGATCGCCAATACGGTTTTCGCCGTGGTCAGTCAACTGGTGATCTTCTGGTCTACGTAACTCACAGATGGGCGGAGGCAGTAGAGTCCAAGGGGGAGGCATTGGCCGTTAGTTTGGACATTGCGAAGGCCTTCGATCGGGTTTGGCACAAAGCGCTTCTTTCGAAGCTCCCTTCCTATGGGCTTCCCGAGAAATTGTGCGATTGGATCACCAGCTTTCTTGCAGATCGAAGCATCAAGGTCGTTGTAGACGGTGTAAACTCCGATTGCAAGCCTATTAATACTGGTGTCCCACAAGGCTGCGTGCTATAGCCAACGCTGTTTCTTCTTCATATCAATGATATGTTGCAAACCCGTAATATTCATTGCTATGCAGATGACAGCACTGGTGATGCTCTTTACACTGGCCGAGCCAATATTTCTCAGGAAAACGTCTCGCGAGTACCGGGACAAACTTGTGTCTGAAGTCGAGTCTTTGCTGAAACAGAGTCTCGGATTGGGGGCGACTAAATCTTGTCCAGTTTAACCCACAGAAGACACAAGTTTGCGCGTTAACCCCTAAAAAGAAACCTTTTGTCGTATCCCCTCATTTTCAAGCCACTTCCCTTGTTGCCTCAGCCAGTATCGGAATCCTCGGCGTCGACATATCGAGTGACGTGCAGTTTCGTCGTCACTTGGAAGAGAAGGCCAAATTGGCCTCTAAAAAGCTTGGCGTGCTCAGCAGAGCGGGACAGTATTTCATGCCGGCACACCGCCTGCAACTTTATAAGGCGCAGGTTCGGCCGCACATGGAATACTGTTCCCATCTCTGGGCTGGGGCTCTCCAGTACCAGCTCCTTCCACTTGACCGCATCCAGCGCAGAGCGGCTCGAATCGTCGATGACCGAGTGTTTTCCGATCGGCTCGATTCACTGACGCTGCGAAGAGTTGATAAGTCTGGAAAACGCTCTTGACCTTGTGTATTTCTCAAATAAGTATGGATGCGCTTCAGAGATAAGAAAGCACGTTCCGCGGAGGAACTTGTGGCTGGAATAGTTACGACAAGATAAGCTAACTTTAAGAGCTGGGGAAAGGCCTCTTCAAGACTAATTTCGTTTATAAAGTCCATGAGTTCGCATTTTTAATGATTATATCCGGGTGCCAACTTTCTGAACATCTACTGTCTACGTACTCTGTGGTGAAGCTGTCAGCGAGATAGTTTTTTGAGTTTTGGCGGGAACTTGGCCGTAGACGGATTGTCGCTCCTGTTTTGTCGCTTGAATAATGGTTTGAAGTGTGGATTTTGATTCGTAAAAGTGATGCGATTTTGTGAAGTAAGTGTCCGCGCGTGTGAAAGTTAGTGAAAACGTCGAAACAAGTGCTTTGATGTCGATATAAACCTCAAGTTATTTTGAAGGCTTGGGCGCCTTATGAACTTGAGTGGCTGTCTGTCCGCTGGGTTGAGCTGTCGTCATAATCTCCCAAGGGCTTCTCAATGTCACGCATCAGCATATTGTGAAAAAAAAAAGAACATAAAATGAAGATTCCCAAAGAAAGTATAGGCTCAGAAGATCTAGAAACCAGAGCCGTAAAGCCAGTTAATAAAGAACGAGACAGTTTTTCGTAGACATTATAGTGATCTGTGACCGTCTGTGACCGCAGTAAGTAATCTATGGTGACCGTTTTCGAAGTATGTTAGAGATAAAACTAGGATGAGTTATAGAAGTTGAAAGTTTAAAAAAATCTATTATTTACTGAATAAGTGAATATATACACTATATTACAGAATAAAAATTATTAAAGTTAAATTATAAAAAATACAAGTTTTTTGACATGAATAAATATTTTATAGCTTCGTAAATGCTCCTTCACGATTCCTGTTACGTAAATTGTTTTATTTCTAATAACTAATGTTTTAAGTGAAATTATCTCTTTCATAAGCAAATGTATTAGTTTTGTAAGTGAATGTTTCGTATTAACTATATCCGTCATTAGAACATAGGTGAAATATTCATTATAACAGACGTGAAATATCAATTACGTATTTGATTTTCCAGATAATGCAGGCTATCAAAGCTTTGGGAGCTACAGCTCCTTGCGCAGTCCTTTCTACTTTAAAGAAGGGAGCTTTTGTACCTGTAGTAGGTCAAATTCGTCAAACTCATTTGCCGGCGCCAAACCCAAATGAGAGACGTCCTTATTCTCCTTTTCAAGATGCCAATAATATGGCAGAATATGCCGTAGCAAGGCTTGACGACTTACTTAATTGGGGAAGAAAAGGTTCCATGTGGCCTATGACTTTTGGACTTGCATGTTGTGCTGTAGAAATGATGCACATTGCAGCTCCTCGTTACGACATGGACAGGTAATGCAAAATGTTTTGTCTAATTAATTAAAAACAAGTTTGTTTTTTTTTTAATATAAAGGCGTGATTTTGTAAATTTACATTTATTTCAACTATGCTACATTGAATCCGAAGCTATTGATGATACAATGAAATAATATTAAAAATTATTTAACTTGTATCATATTTTTCATTATCAATGTACTAATTTTATTTAACTTTTCTATTTTCGAGTTGCACTACCATACAAGCCACCCTTCAATTCAAAACTACCATTCATCCAAGTTGAGCTTAAAAATAAATTACCCTTGTGATGACATCCCCTCCTGGTAGAGCCAACTTATTTATGCTGAAACCATAAATATTATAGCTACAGCGTGGCTCTACCATGTTTATTCAAATCTTGCTATCTTGAAGAAACATAGGATATAATATGTGTCGTTAAATATCAAAATCCATTACGTCCGCTCTAAGTGAAACGGGGGAAATTAATGTTATATGTGTTTTAATGTAAGATTTTATAATTTCTGCTATTTTGTATAATCGGACTATTTTCTTAGGAATTTGCATATAATGTAATTTTAAAAAACTAATATATTAATGATAGGATAAGCTAAAAAAGCAGGTTAAAGTTTGGACATACCGCATTTTGATGTGTATGAGCTAATTATATCGGTGTTTGAAATAAGTCATACTGGACTTACCTAATTTTGATTGACATCATTGTAATAGGACATATTCAGAGCAGCTCACTTGTGGTATTTTAAGAAATACATCAGTATATTTAATTTTATAAATGAAACAATGATTTTAAGTGAATCAAAATACTTTATTTATTTGCATAAATTCTAAAACGCCTTCCATTTCATAATCTTGCAAATTATTTATTATTTCCTCTTCTTTCTCTTCAGTTAGGTCAACATTGTTTTGTAAAATATTTTTATAAAATTGCATTTCGGGTACATGATCACATTGAAGTCCAAAATAGCATTACTACAGATACAATTAAACATGTAAATCTTGTGTTAAGTGCATTTCAAGTGCAAGGTCAACACCAGATAGAAAGCAGAAGAAAAATTAACATTTTAAATGAAATTTTATTTAGATATAGGTATATGTAAGTAACAAAACCACAAGAAGCAGATTTCTGATTAATAATTAATTAGATGGGTTAAGTAATTATTATTCACACCCTGTTTTTAAACCTTGAATTTATGTTTTTACTGCATAATCCTTTCCACCGTTATGCTAAAATAAAAGTTATTTTATATTATTTATAAAATTTTAAATTATCACTACTCAATAAAATGATAGTATCAATTTTCAAGCTGAGTACGACCTTGTAGTACAAAGTTAGTCTTTTTCCTTGCTTTATCTTGTTCCACCACATTTAGATCAAAACTGTTTTCACTCATTTTGTTCAAAATAATTAAATAAAAACTAAGAGGGCAAAGTGTTTCGCTTCCGATAACTCATGCGAATAGCAGCCATCTTTACGCTATACTTTACTCTGATTGGCCAGTGCATACATGCTTGATATTGATAAACACTTTCAAAGGAACTAACCGGGATATGAAAAAAATCGTCAGTTTTGACCGTTATTTTCATAGAGTTTTAATTGACTTACCTCATTTCGGTAAAAACGAACTTATTAAGATTTTAATTTTAAATTTGGCACCATTAATAGTTTAATTTTGAGTAGTGGTAGTCCTTACCGGATTTCGATATTTAACTACACATATGTCACACAATATTTACAATTTGTATTAACTTTATTTTCATATTTGCATAATTATGTAGTCTTCATCTACACTTACATAATATGTTGTTAATTGTTTTCACCAACTTTTTTCAACTGCAGAATGAGATGCATATTCAGCCTGAATGTGATACTTTTAATGAAAAACAACAAGTTATAAATACATATAGGTGTACAAATGCTCATATCTCATTCAAACTGCAGGGACACACATTTGTGTCCATAAGTTTTTAGAGGCACTGCTGTGTATTCCTTTGTATTGGTCAAGACAGTGAATAAGTTATTAAGTTTTTTTTTATTCTCTGAGTATGTAAAATCTCAAAATATCATGAATTTTTTGTTTCAAGATTTGGCGTCGTTTTCCGAGCATCTCCAAGACAGTCTGATGTGATGATTGTTGCTGGTACATTAACAAATAAAATGGCTCCAGCTTTAAGAAAAGTGTATGACCAAATGCCTGATCCACGATGGGTTATTTCTATGGGAAGTTGTGCCAATGGTGGTGGTTACTACCATTACTCATATTCAGTTGTAAGGTAAGATAATAATACTACTTTCAATAGCTGGCAAGTCTCTTATCTGCCTAGGGAGTTTGTCTTGTTGATACAACTCTGCCAAATGCACCCGTTGCTGTGTTCTGGCTTAAAGGAAACACTGTGAGCCATTTCATGTCAGTCGTCAACGGTGACAACTGACAATGTACCTGTGGTTTTTTTAAGTTAGCTTCATGTCCATGTCATGTTCATGGGCTGTATTAGCCACTTACAATGAGGTTAACAATTTTTTATTTCGCATGTAGATCAAATTTATTTAAAAAAATTTGCAGGTTTTATTCAATGTCTGACCAAAGGTCAGTTGGTCAAAACAGATAGGAACAGTTGAAGCTAAACTGAAGCCGAAGGTTCTATTCCACCATACTAACAAACTTAAGACCCTTACCAAAAATTATTTTAAAAATGAATGGGTATTTAATTAATAATATATGTTAAATCACGCTATCAAAGTTTCCAAGTGCTGAGATGTATATATAGAATAGCTCAATATTATCATATGTGCTTTATGAAACACAATCATTTTAAAAGAAGTTAAAAAATGAGATCTATTAGTAATTTAGTTTGTTTCAATTTAAAACATATCCTTTAAATTTTATTTAAATGTACAATATAATACTGAACCTAGCTGATAGCACCCTAATTTATAATCCCGACGATATCTTTAGCGGAATGGAGGAAACTTCCCTTGTTTTGTCACAGCCTAATAATTTGTCAGAGTGGCCCATCTATACGAGGGTATGGTGCTCAAACCCAATAAGTACGAAATTGTCAGTTTCGAGATATTAATGTTTAAATTTTAAGGATAAAAATACTTGTTATTCAAATTATATCGACCTATTAAGTATTTGTGGTAAAAGTGAATACATTGAACTAGTAGTAGTAAAACAGTATTTTAACGTTTCTGAGGTGGTCAATTTTATCAAAAAAAAAAGTTACAGAGGGCATCGACTTATTGGGTTTGGTCTAGAAAAATTAAACATATAATGTACTTTAATAAATGGAAATGGAACTTAAACATATAATGTACTTTAATAATAAATTCTTCATCCCTTTCGAAGGCTGTTGATTTGCTCTATTTAGCTGCTGTCAAAACGTTTTTCCACTCGCCTACGCTACTTATTGTTTTTTTACCGCGTTGATTATCGTTATTACAAATCCCACATGAATCAGCTTTATTCACGGCGTCAGTTATAACATCTACCCAAATACATAGTCACTTTGAAAAAATTGAGGTTGACTTGGGTTTGTTCGTTGTTCTTTCTGATAAAGTATTTTTTTAGTACAGGCTGAATCTTCAGGCATGAGAGAGTAAAAATTTTCTGTGATACAAAGTTCATATTGTAATAATTACGACACAAAATGTTTCGTTCGCCAGGAGAAAACTTTTGAGTACATTTAAATGTGCATTTATCACATTAAATAAATAGGCTTTGGCACTTTGGCCACTCTAACAACACCTTTTGTAATATAAAATAATCCCTCAGCTTTTCTCACCTTACAAATTTTTCGTTTCCACTCTCTTGATTGAGCTCTCTTTCGTCGCGTTAGGGTTTTGATGGATAAACAAATTCTATTCAAAAGATTCTCAAGAACCAACGTAACAAATTGTTTGCCTGCTTTGTTTTGATATTCTTCACAAATTATCACATTACAATCAGAATCACTGTTGTTTTGAATATGTTCATCTGAATATGTCACGTAAGTAGGATCTTTATCTGAAAAGTAATTGTTAAATAGATATTCTTTCTCACTTGATACATCTGACGCATAAAACAAATTATCTGACTCGTAGACGCAATTACCTCAGGAAATTGACCTCTGTAAAAAATAAAAATAAAAACCTAAAGAATACTATTTAGTAATGATAACACAGAACTCAAAAATGTAATTGTATCAATACAGATGATCGTATCAGCCAAACGACGCCCACTGCAAGGCCACTCTAAAGTATCGTAGTAATGTTACGAGCTTGCGGTTCGTGACAATAAAAACTGCCGATTGAATTACCAAAATTGACACTTTAATTACCGAACATCAATTACAACTTAAAACACACACAGATAATAAATCACTGATCACTTTAGTTCCCAGTTATATCGCTTCGAAGTATTTGCTTGAATCGCTGATTCTCGTACTGACCCGGGTCGCTTTTTTTTTTGCGCCCGAAGCAAATATGGGCAACCCTCCGGAAAGCGGGGGAGGGAGGCGGTGAAAGCTCATAGCAACAAGCTGTGCAGTGATCGAGATGACGTCACGCCAAGTAAACTGCGCAGGATGCCGCGGTGTTATTATGGAAGACAGCGCATTCATGAGGTGCGCAAAATGTAAGCAATATTTCGATATTATGTGCGCCAATTTTAATGTGGAAGTATTTGCAACAATGACATCAGAATTTAAAAAGATGTGGATATGTTTCGAATGCCGTAGCAAAATACCTAAGCTTGATAATTCACATACGCCAGTACGCCAGCAGTTGAGCCATGATAAGACTGCCGTTGATGATTGTTTGGATGTATCGATGCATACCCCAGATAATATCACGTTTCGAAACGGGAAACGTCCTGCGCAATTAGTGGCGATGAAATGTGACCCTTGCCCCCAAAACATGGCCCCTGTAGTACAAGAAATAAAGCAAATGCAGGACGACTTCGAATCGCGCCTTACCATGAAAATTTGCGCACTACTCAACGAGCAATTTAATGAATTTAAAACTTCGGTATTTGAAAAAATTTGCAATTTAACCAATAAGTTTGACAAATTAGAAAAAATAACCCTAAAAATGGACAAAGATAATAGTGCATCAACGCAGGGATATGCAGCGGCGGTACAGCGCCCATTGAACCTAGATAATGGGAAGACTAAGCCGAAAGTAAAATCTGGCCCTCAGGTGAAAAATAAGGGAGCTTCGGGCAAACCTAATCCACCCGAAAAAAGTAAACACACCTATCTCTTCTTTAGCGCCAGTTTCAACTTTAGTCTCTGATTCCAACACTTCGATTTTGAGTGTAAGCCGTGAGACAACTGTTGCTTCCCGGGATGGCGTGGAGCAAAAAAGACCCAGAAGAATGGATACAGGTGAGACGTAAAACTGGACGCGCTTCGCTGCCCGGCGTGCTTCGCGGTACTGCAGCGCTGGGGGTGACAAAACTGCGTGCTTCTGAGAGATGGAGGTACTTGCATCTCTATTATGTTCATGAGGGTACCACAGTAGAAGAGGTGTGTGCTCATCTCTACTCTATTAGTGGAAATAATGATTGCACAGTGGAAGAACTGAAAGCAAGGGGACGTTACTCATCGTTCAAGCTTGGAGTCCCGTCGAGGATTAGCGAGAGTGTTATGTCACCAAATAATTGGGCTGAAGACATCTGTATAAAACCGTGGCGGCAGAACTTTCGTGCCAAGAAAGAAAGTGTGTAACCTATATTTCTGTTATCAAAACGTTAGAGGTCTACGTACTAAATCGGATACTTTTAGGAATAATGTGTCTCAATGCAACTTTGATGTTATAGCCTTGACCGAAACCTTTTTGAACAGTTCCGTTTTTGATGGCGAATTATTTACTTCGGAATATTTAGTCGTACGTAAAGACCGCACAGGGGACGTCGGGTGGGGAGGAGTGTACGAAACTGCTATACGGTGCAACAAGTAACTAATGTAGATGCCTATACGTCTGATATGGAACTGCTTTTTGCCATTATTAGTGGAAAAAGTGTTGGAAAGTTTTTGTGTTGTATCGTTTATTTGCCTCCTAAATGTAGTGATAATCTATATCTCAACGTATTGACGTGCATTGAAAATGATATCATTGCATATTATTCTCTTAATGTCCTAGTAATAGGAGATTTTAATTTGAATTCTTGTAGTGTTAATGTTAAGAATAATTTTAATTCATTTTGTGACTATTGTGGGCTTCAGCAACATAATATTGTGTATAACAAATATGATGGCATGTTAGATCTCGTGTTGAGCAATTTTAACCCGGAGCTGGTCTTAGTGTCCGAGGGTTTAGATCCCTTAGTACCAATTGATAAGTATCACCCTCCGCTGGAGGTGACGCTTAGGTTTCAGTGCGATGCGCAGGTCCAGTCACCATCCTCTCCACCGCCGGCTCAGAGCCCGGGAGCTGCTCCAAGCTGGAATTGGCGTAAAGCAGACTTTCTGGGCCTGTACACGGCATTAAAAAGTATAGATTGGTCGGACATGTTTGTAATTGCAGACGTTGACGACGCAGTTGCGTTATTCTATCACCGTCTTTATAATTGTATCAGTCAATATGTTCCAACTAAATCCCCTTACATGCCGAATTATAAGTACGTATATCCAAAATGGTTTAATGCTGATATTATATGTAATATACGTAAAAAATATTATCATTTGAAACGGTATAAGGCTGAAGGTAAAGAGTTCAACAAGGAATTATTTAAATACTATAGATGGCATGTTAAAAACTTGATTGACAATGCATATAAGCAGCACTTACATCTGACTCAACAAAATATAATTGATGACCCGGCCAAATTCTGGGAGTACGTTAAGAATAGGAAGAATCACAGGCAGCGTATGAACGCTTATTCTTCTAGTGGTGTCGAAGTTGTTGGGCAATCTGCGGCCGACGCTTTTGCGAACTATTTTAGTTCGGTATATCAGAACAAAGTTCCTGAACTGGACCATGTTGATGCGGTACGTGCCGCAGATAGTCGATATGACTCCACCTGTATCACAATAAATACTATTGATAATACCAAGTTAAAGGAAGCAGTAAGGCGGCTAAAACCGAGGTCGACGTGTGGCCCTGATGATATTCCCGTTTTTTTAGCAAAGGACTGCATATCCGCTTTTGAGAGTCCACTCCTGTACCTCTTTAACTTGTCGCTGACTCAGTATAAGTATCCAGACATTTGGAAAGTGTCTAGGGTTACTCCGGTTCCAAAAACTGATGGTGAAAATGACGTTTCGTCTTTTAGACCGATTGCAGTCCTGTCAGCCTTTGCGAAATTATTTGAAATTGTCTTATGTCAGCAAATTAATAAGCAAACTCAAAAATTATTGCATGATAGTCAACACGGTTTTCGAACTGCCCGTTCTACAACTACCAATCTTGTGTCTCATCTTGACTATACATATGCTGAATTGGATGCTGGTAGGCAGGTGGATGCTGCGTACTTCGATTTTAAGAAAGCATTTGACCTGGTCGATCACGATATCTTGTTGCGTAAGTTGGCGGTGATAGGCTTTGCCCCGGCACTCCTCAAGTTTTTTTCAAATTACTTACGCGATCGACGTCAGTTTGTTAAAGTGGGTGCATTTGAGTCTAGTGACTATTACACAAGATCTGGAGTGAGCCAAGGAAGTACGTTGGGGCCTTTGCTCTTTCTTATTTTCATTAATGACTTACCGAATAGCGTGACTGCCTCCAAATGTCTGTTGTTCGCGGATGATCTCAAGTTAAGCCTAGGTATAGATGACCCGTCTGACTGCGAGGCATTGCAAAGGGACATCGATGCGGTTATGGATTGGAGTGTATTAAATCATCTTCCGTTTAATAGTAATAAATGTAAAATAATAACATTCACGCGTAAACGCTGTCCACTAAAAAAAAGAATATAAATTATCTGACACGCCCTTAGTAAGGGTAAGTGAAATTCGTGACTTAGGATTATTGTTAGACGCTAAACTTGACTTTCATAACCATGTGACTACTGTATGTAAAAAGACCAGTAAATTGCTTGGCTTCGTTATTCGCACTTCTTCACAGTTTGATAGATTAGAGGTCGCTTTGGTACTTTACAATGCATATGTTCGTAGTAAGCTTGAGTACGGTGCCATTGTATGGAATCCCTATGAGGAAAAATATATTTTGATGATAGAGAGAATACAGCGCAAATTTGCACGATGGCTATATAAACGGAAATACGGTTACTACCCCTATCTATATCCGTCCTTATTTGTTAATGGTATGGTGGGTTTGGACACGCTTAAACTTAGGCGAACTATGCAGTTGATAACACACTACCTAGCAATCATCCATAATCGTATAGATAGTCCGATGATATTAAGTAGAGTAGGGTTGTTGGCTCCGAAGCGGCTGGGCTGTGATGTGGAGGGGACGGTGGCACCACGGCGGCGGCCTCGCCTTCTGTGGCAGCCGCCGGTGCGCACCAGGTACGGCGCTCACGCGCCCACTTCTCGTGCTATACGGCTTATCGGAGACATGCTCGCAGATTATAACGAGACCGATTTATTTGCTGATAGCTTAGGGCAACTGTGTAATAAAGCTCTTCTATTTTTGACATCCAATTTTGACAAAATGTAATATTATTAGTATTCTCTTAATCCTATCTTATGTAATCAATCTGACAATGACATTTTGCTTAATTTATTTGACTTTTAATCTATTTGGCATGTATTTTTTTGGTATTTAGTTGATCTACTGGACATGTATTCTTTAATTTGTTTGACCTTTTGACATGTATCTTGTATTATTACTATTATTTAAAACTGTAATTTGTTAATTAGCATGCTGACGTTTTGGACAAACTGTAAGCCAGCATGTACACTGTTTTTAAAATATAAATATAAATATAAATAAATACCACGCAGCCGGTTGCGTGGTTATGTGCAGACTTTTACCCACTAAACACCGCCTTTATGGATTGGCTTACCGATCTGACGAGAGATCTCTAAGCCGTATACGAACGCGACCCTACTTGGCAGAAAGGAGGGCGCAGGTCAATACCAGTCTTATATAGGACCTTTTTTACTGAAACATCTAGAATGTTAGAGTACATACCCGTCCCGACCGACTAGGTATAGAAAGTTCTCTCCTAGTTCTGCCACTCGACACTAGAGGGCGCTAGTAGAAAAGCTATAGTATGTAATTATTTTATAAAGCTCTCCTAGTTCTGCTACTCGATACTAGATAAAATAGTACACATTACAGTAGAGATAGAATGTGAGTATTCCGACGAAGTCTGATAGGAAGCCACTTGAGCTTAGTACGAAACTCTGGAACATGATCATATTTGCGGGGGCCAAATATGAATCTAATAGCGAAATTCTGAAAACGCTCAAGTTTATATTTAATTGATCCTCAGTAAGATTAGAATTTTAATACGGTATCTATAGAATTTACACCATTTATCTGGATCCATCGAATCAAGGGCTGTAAATGTACTGAATTAAACACACCGCTGCGCTGCATGACTTATGCAGCGCCCCTTAGTAAATATTATGCAGTTACTACACTTTCGCTTATTTAATATATGAAATATTATCTCGTGTCTTGTCCCGTGGTCGTCGTAAGAGGTGACTATGGGAGAAGCGAGAATGATCTTAATCATCTGTATATGTCGAAAGTAAAACACTTCGAGTGGCAAAGAGGAGAAACCACAAATCTGTGAGACGTTGGCGCGATTTTCAATCCGTCTGCCAAGTGACATTATCACGGCAAATTCTCCCTACGATGGGATCCCAGCAGTGGATTACAGACTAAGAAATATAATTATCTGTCTGTAATTCACTGCAATTATTTACAGACAGTTCAGTGTTCAATTACATTATAATATAGATATGTAATTTTTTTTAACAAATTATATATATATATTTTTTTTTTTTTGTACTATGTTTTTTCTTTTTGTATAATAATTCAATGGCATATCAGTTATCATTGTTAATAAAAAAAAAAACATTTACCTTTCAGAGGCTGTGATCGCATTGTACCAGTTGACATATATGTACCAGGTTGTCCTCCAAGTGCTGAAGCTTTAATGTATGGTATTTTACAATTACAAAAGAAAGTCAAAAGAATGAAGACACTTCAGATATGGTATAGGAAATAGACAATTTTTTGAAGCAAATGAAAAATAAATCATTGTAATTCATCTCTAACAGTAAATATAATCATGTAGCAGCAAGCATGTTACGTTTTTTATTGCGATATTACGGTTTAATTTATATAACATTGTGTTATATTTTTCTTAAGTATTCAGAGATTTTTTCTTCACAGACAGACATTTTTCTTCTCTTAGAGATGATTTTTTTAAACCTTGTTTAAAATTGTTTTTTGTAAAGTATTTATTAAAGTTGAATTACAGAAATCGGTTCATAGACAGAGAAATTATGCCCGAACATACGTAAAAAGATAAAAATATAAGCAGACAAATAAAAACCCCTTTTTAAAAATGGGTAAAATATCCGGGATTTTAGACTGATAATAACTGATAATAATGATAGTTACCTAATAATCAACACAAAGTCTATCGTAGATGGTATACTGCTCGTTGAACGTTGTTAGTCTACTACTTCTTCTTCTTTAAGTGCCTCTCCATTACTGAAGGTCGGCAGTCATCCTCCTAAATTCTTTCTTATTCAGGGCTAGACTGAACAGATCTACTTTCTTTATCCCGGTCCATTTCCGGATAAAGAAAGTAGAACTACTACTCGATATCTAAAAAAATATAATTTATAAAACCCGAAACAAAAAGAGCTGATTATCTTCAAACGGGTAAACAGAATTTCTTGAAACAGCTGAGAACACACACTAGACACATTTTAAATGAAAAAAACTTAAACAAAATGGGTTCATCTGTTCAGGAGCCATGACGCCACAGACAGACACACAGATACACACTACTAACTTATAACACCCCTATGTTTTCGTCGGGGGTTAATAAATAATCGTAACACCAGTTTTAGTCTATGAAATAACTTATCAAGACTGAGTTATCTCCAATATTGAACAGCGTATGGAAAATGAGGCAAACGTGCTACGGCTTACCCTATGGTAAGTGTTCGCCGCCGCCTATGACCATATGCAAAACCAGAGGACTTGCAGGTGCGTTGCCGGCCTTTTAAATACGAGTAGGCTCGTTTCTTAAAAGTACCTAAATCATAACGGTCCGAAAAAAGAGCTGACAACAGCAAATTCCACAATGTAGTCAAGCGTGATAGAAAATTCCTTGTAAAACGCATGGTTAAATCGCCAACAATCGTTATCGATAAACACGTACTGGTACTCATGGGATTCTGTTCGTAGATCTGCTGAAGAAGGCCTTGCTATGATCGCTAAGTAGCGGAACACTAATCTACTTACTTTAAATAAAACTAGTTATATATGTTTTACAAATTATATTCGAACTCCGCCTAATATTAATTTCCAAATTAAACTTCACACATGGTGAAGTACGACTTAGGAATCCTTAGTACGACTTGGGATCCCTGAAGTATGACTTAGGAAACTTCCATAGACATTTAAAACACTAAGACAAAAAAGTTACTTTAAGTACCAAATATGTATTACTTTGGCTCAATCTATCTTAGTATATTGTATTCCTGTATGGGGTGGAGCTATAAAAACAAAATTTCTTGAAGTTGAAAGGGCAAAGAGAAATATTACAAAAATTATGCGTTTTGAACCAAAAAGATTCCCTACAGAAGATATTTATGCCACAAGTAATATACTTACTGTTAGGAAACCGTACATCTTAGATTAAGTTCTAAGACTGCATAAAGGTATAAAGTTTAACCGTTGTAACCAAAAGAAGGAAAAACGTAGTAAAACTGTTTCCATGTGAAACGGTGTTCCTTGCCTCTACACTCCAGACTCCGCCATCAGTGTTGCATTTCTTGGTGAGAATAAAACATTAATACCACTGAAACTACAGCAAATTGATGGATTTGAAAGATCAAAGTTGTTTAACATTTTATTTTAATTTATTTTCTTACTAGTACATAACCAGGCCTACGCTTCATACAATTTTGGACAGTCTCCATTGTCTAATTTCTACATTCAAAAATTTATTGATTTTTGAATAAGTAATAATGTCCTCCAGACCGAATTTCGGCCACGGCGGCCTGCCTCAATAGAGGCTAGCCATCGGCGGAGGACAGGACTATAGTGCACAAGTGTATGCGCAAGCACAGGTGCACTCTCTGTTCCCGCACTCTCATAATCCGTACCCGTAATAGGACGGTAAACCGACACGAACGTAGAGAGATCAGACGCAGGACTAACGGCTTTACGTGCTTTCCGAGGCACGGGGGTGAGACACCACCAACTTCCTGGTTCCGGGGGCAACTACCGCGAATTTCTTGACAGAAAAACTGTTGTAAAATTTTTGAATAAGTATATTACATAGAATAGTAGTAGTTTAGTTTTATTAAATATGAATAGTCATTAGAATAAGGAGTATTGTTAATTTTCAAATTCTTCTTATTTTTTATTTTCTTTTGCAACTGGCGCAACCTTACTCTTCGTCAAATCGCAGGTATGGCGATACACACATGTTTAAAATCTCGCACTATACATTCAAAAGTCATCTAGAAATAGAAACACTACTAAAAATAATAAACAATGTCACTTCACCCTACAGTCAGTGCCTGATTTAGTTTCGAGAGTCCTAGGAATGTGCTATGAACATGCGCGCCTTCACCGCCCTGTTCTGTCTGTGCCTTCCCAGCTCACGAATATATTTACTAGATTTTTATATTTTATTTGCTTTCCACCCCCGGTTTCGCTTACATTCAATCAAATTTTCCTGACAGTAAGTGTTGACCAACGAGAATTTAAAATATGTACTATAGAGCGGACATTGAGAATATTTGCATACTTTCAGCTCGTGCGTGTGTGACGCCCTCTAGCTAAATATAGCAAAACTATAAATATTTACTAGGAAAACATTTCAGCTATTCCCCACAAGGTGACGCTAATAATTTTATTCTTTATTGGCGTAGTATCATTTACTGTTTGACTTCCTTAAACAGTATAGATGATTAAATCGGTATCCTGTATAATATTTTTATCGATAACACCAGTCGATACACGTTATCAATCACTAACTGCCAACCGCAGAGAGGTTTAAGATAGGGTGACGTTATATCCCCGAAACTCTTCACCGCCGAATTGGAAGACGTTTTCAAGCTACTGGACTGGAAAGGATACGGTATTAACATCAATGGCGAGTACATCACTCACCTTCGATTTGCCGACGATATAGTCCTTATGGCAGAATCGCTGGAGGACCTAAGCACTATGCTCAATGACCTCAATGGTGTCTCCCAACGGATAGGTCTTAAGATGAACATGGACAACACAAATATCATGTTTAATGTCCATGTCACACCTATGCCGGTAGTTGTTGGGAGCACTATGCTCGAAGTTGTTGACGAGTACGTTTACCTGGGACAAATAGTCCGACTAGGTAAGTCCAATTTCGACCGAGAGGTCAATCGACGGATTCAACTCGGCTGGGCAGCGTCCGTGAAATTAAGACACATCTTCTCGTCAGGTATACCTCAACCTCTGAAAACTAGATTGTTACAACCAGTGCGTGTTGCCAGTGATGACTTACGGATCTGAGACGTGGTTCTTCACTGCTGGCCGTATGAGGAAAAGTCGCTCATCGAGCTATGGGGAGAGCTATGCTCGGAGTTTCTCTGCGTGATAAACTTAGAAATGAGCATATCCGCAGTAGAACCAGAGTGACCGACATAGCCCTACGGATTATTAAGCTGAAGTGGCAATGGGCCGGCCATATAGCTCGAAGAACCGATAAGCCTCGTACCGGTAGGCGTAGTGTAGGGCTGGGGGGTCGCCCTACACTACGCCTAGGTGGAGTGACGACCTGCTAAGACATGCAGGAAGTGAAGAATGCAGGTGTCTCAGGACCGTGATTTGTGGCATACCTTGGGGGAGGCCTATGTTCAGCAGTGGACTTGTGAAGGTCTGTAATGATGATGATGATGTACAATACGTGCAAGGGAGAAAATTATTTATTACTGATGCATAAGTAGGGCATCATCAAAAGCAAAATGTGGCATCAAATTTCGAAAAGATGGTGCACTAAGTAAATGATAGTGATGATTTATTAAATCGGATAAAAGTTGAGTCTGAAAATGATGAATATTTAAAAGAGTTAATTAAATTATATAAACATGGTTGATTGATTGGATTAATCCAAACAATTCCTCAGAGCACTCCCTGTGGTATACGCAAAAGAAAATGCAAAGAGATGCAACATCTCTTCGCAGCGCCGTGAATCGAGCCGATCGGAAAGCACTCGGTCGTCGACGGTTCGAGCCGCTCTGCGCTGGATGGGGTCAAGTGAAAGAAGCTGGCACTGGGGAACCCCAGCCCAGAGATGGGAACAGTATTCCATGTGCGGCCGAACCTGTGCTTTGTAAACATGCAGTCGGTGTACCGGCATGAAATACTGTCCCGCTCTGCTGAGCACGCTAAGCTTTTTAGCCTTCTTTTCCAAGTGACCACGAAACTGCACGTCACTCGATATGTCGACGCCGAGGATTCCGATATTGGCTGCGGCAACAAGAGCAGTGCCTTGAAACTGTGGAGATACGACAACGGGTTTTTTTAGCGGTTAATGCGCAAACTTTTCAAATCATTGTTCATGTTAGGCTAAAAAAATAAAGATTTTGCCCTATAAATAGTTTTGTTTATTCCAAAATGTGTCCGATGTATTTTCATTAAAACTTGTTTTTAATTGACATTGGTACAATAATTCTGTGTTCTCAATATACAATGCCATTTTTTACAAAAATTTCATTCCTTGACTTAAAATAAAACATAACTAAATCTGACATTTTACTTTTATCATGCGGTCAACCATTTTTATATGATCTAATTAACTCTTTTTAATATTCATCATTTTCACTCAACTTTTATCTGATTTAATTAATCATCACTAACATTTACTGAGTGCACCATCTTTTCGAAACATGTCTCTACTGGCTCACATTTTGCTTTTGATGATGCCCTACTTATTGCATCAGCAATAAATAATTTTCTCCCTTGCATATTGTACATCATCATCATCATTACAGC